GTAGGCTCTAGGTACTTCTTTTGCCCACCTTACTAGCCATGGGTTATGTACTGAGGTTGAGTTGTAGGTTTTCACATGCAGAGGAAGAAATAAATGCTCCTGCTGTTCTTGGGCTCCCAGTGACTGGGAAGAATGGCAGGCACCTTATTAAGAAGCTGGGCAAATGCTGACACATTCACATTTTGTGTAGGTAGGAATATTGCAGACATGTTTGTGTGGCTACAGTTCACAGACCCAGTGGCAGCTTCTTCCTGGTTCTGATGGTTGGGCAAAGCTACAGTCCTGGGGAGGGGGCTCTGAGATAGTCAATAGATGTATATTTAGCTTAAAATTTTAAAATCATTACTATTTCTTTTAGCTAGGACAAGAAGCTTAACTTCTTGACATATCAGTTTGCATAATGGAGAGATATGATATCCATCTCAAGAGACAATTGTTGGGATAATGCATGTGCATGAACTAAGCACAGGGTCTGGTATGAAATAGGTGCTCAATAAATGATACATGAGCCAGAAGTTCTAAAACCTCCAAGGTATGTAACGTCAAGGTAATAATAATATTCCCTCACTCCCTAAGCAAATATCAAAAGACCGCAAAACTAAAAATTCCAGCTAAGCAGAAGACTGAACGCCAGCATATTCTGGAGACAGGAGAGAGCATCCTCTGTGTAGATACCATGTGACTAGTCATCCCTGTGTGCTAAGCTAGTGAAACACAAGGATGAGTTATTAGCATAATCTCATTTTGAAACTTCTGCTCACAGAGAATAGCACCATCTTCAAGATGGTAAATAAGCTCAAAGGGATTAAATTTACCAAATAAAATGTGGATAATACTGCTTTATCTTTCAGAGAAGACACGTTGCTGCCTTTATAACCTCAGTAACGAGGCTATTACCATCTGAGAGCGACTGTCTCCTGAGTTCTGATTGAGTTCTGAGGGAGCAGTAGGCCACAGAGCTGTGATTAATCTGCAGAAGTCATGCCCTCCGTTTAGTCATCTCAGGCGACTCCCTCGGTTGTGCATTGCTGTCTCAGGCAGAAGGAAAAGGCAGAGAGGAAGGGGACAGAGGGGAGGGTAATGGGATGCTGGGCTCACTGCTGTATTTTGTAAAACCATTATTCTTCTTCATTGCTATGAGAGTGTCCTCATTTCCACACAATATTTTATACTCAATTTCTGAATGTATCATCAGAGACTAATGTGTTTTGTATGTATACTGAATAGCCTGGGATATGTTTTATGCTGTTATTTATTTAGATCATATTTTTTCAGACAGCAGTAATATATTAATTGCTCATTTAGAGAATAGAATGGCTATCCTGGAACCATCTTTCTTTGCTTGATTTAGTTCATCTGTTCTTATTGAAAATGCCATTGGCAATGGGGATCATGAGCCAAGGATCCTACTGTGATGTATTTGTGTATGTTAGATATTGAGTTATTTATTCATCTTCAAGTTCCTAACTCTGTTGATAAAATAGGTGTCAAAAAAAAAACCCGTCAAACTCTATAAAATATTTGAGATTTATTCTGAGCCAAATGTAAGTGACCAATGGCCCGCGTGACACAGCCCCAGGAGATCCTGAGAATATGTGTCCAAAGGTGGTTGGGCTGCAGCTTGGTTTTACACATTTTAGGGATATATAAGACATCAAATGAATACATGTAAGATGTACATTGGTTTGGTCTGGAAAGGTGGGAGAACTGGAAGTGGAGGGCAGCAGGATTGGGAGTTGAGGTTGGGGGGTATTTCCAAGTCATAGATGGATTCAAAGATTTTTTTTTTTTTTTTCTGAGAAAGTCTTGCTCTGTCACCCAGGCTGGAGTGCAGTGGCACAATCTCAGCTCACTGCAACCTCCACCTCCTGGGTTCAGGTAATTCTCCTGTTCCAGCCTCCTGGGTAACTGGGACTACAGGTGCACTCCACCATACCTGGCTAATTTTTTTGTATTTTTAACAGAGATGGGGTTTCATAGTGTTGCCCAGGCTCGCCTTGAACTCCTGAGCTCAGGCAACCTGCCTGCCTTGGCTTCCCAAAGTGCTAGGATTACAGGTGTGAGCCACCACGCCTGGCTGGATTCAAAGATTTTTTGATTGGCAATTGGTTGAAAGAGTTATTATCTAAGGACCTGGAATGTCTGGGTTATGGAAAGAATGTCTCGGTTATAAAGGGGTCATGAAGACCAAGGTTTTATCATGCAGAAGAAGCCTCCAGCAGCAGGCTTCAGAGAGAATAGATGGTAAATGTTTCTTATCAGGCTTAAAAGTCTATTCTGTCAATCTTAAGGTCTCCGTGTTGATGTTAAAAGCTGGTCAGCTGTGCTTGAATTCCAACAGGAAGGAAGGTATAATGAGGCATGTCCAGCTCCCCCTTCCCATCATGGCCTGAGCTAGTTTTTTAGGTTAATTTTGGAATGCCTGAGCTAGTTTTTTAGGTTAATTTTGGAATGTGAGAAGATGGGTCCATTCAGATGGTTGAGGAACTTAGAATTTTAGTTTTGGTTTACATTCACAGGATTGAGAAATGGTTATCAGGAGCCCAGAATCTGTGAGCTCCTCTGATGTAGAAACGCACTGTGGCCATGTAAAACATCATGATGAGGACCCATGTCCCCAAGTCCTGACTGATTCAGATGGCATTTGTTTTTTTTAGTCCTTACTTGGTTTTACTGCCTAGTAATATAAGATTTCATAGGTTTGATAAATTCCTATCAGACGGCCATTGTTTGCATGAGCCAAATAACTGGGTCAGAGATCTGTTGTGGGTTTTGAGCTCTCCCTGGAGGCTTAATGGGCCTGACTGTGAGGACAGGACATTCTTCCACATCCCTTGGCCACAGTCCCCTCACCGTCTTCCTGGCCGACCTCTGCATGAGCTGTTGGAAGGATTGAACTGACAGACATCAGAGGTTTGCACAGAGGCCAACGAGCCTTATTTCCAACAGTGCTTTGGTAATAGGCTTCTGCTCTTTTGTTTCTTGCTCAGTTGCTAAAGTTTTGGGTACAGTTCTTGAAGGATCCATAGGTGCCTGAAAAGCCAATACATTCATCCACATTGCCCTGTCCTTAGTGGTTATGTTTTTCCTCTTTATCAGCAGGAGTTAGAAAACCAGCAGATTTTCCCTCTGAGATTCTCTCAGTATTGTTCTGGGTTCTATTAAAATGCTGGGTTAGTTTTCAGAGAGATTGCTTCATCCTTTGAGCAATTAGTACCTTTTAAAAATTCTGACATCTTTCAGACCCTGTCCTGCAGACCCCACTAAAGTGCTTTTGTCAGAACAGTTTTAGCAGTCCGACATCATGTTTTGCCAGCTGCTCCAGCCAGCGGTACAGAGAAAACACTTAAGCATATGGTTCAGATGCTTGCATTTTTATCTGGGTAAAGTCTGTGTGAAAAGGCCTCAGAATTTAAAAAGCCAATCAGTGTATATGATGTCAGAATGCTCACTGTTTGTCTCATGGGGACATTTTCTTAGCATCCTGGTGTGATCATCTAGGTGTGTCTATTGTTCTAAAGGCACAGCTGTGTGGATTTGATTTGCCTACAAAAAAAAAAAAAAAAAAAAGCCATATCCTCCAATTTCGGGGAACAATCTGTGACTTCCCTCCTGGTTCTCACCTTGGAATTTCTATGAAGCCCCCAGACTTTAAACTCTTTTGGCGGCAAAGTAGAAAGCATTTTTCCTTCAGCCTTAAAGGCTGACTTTTGATACCTTTGAACTTATCCTGAAGAACAAGGACCATTCAGAACTGATCTCATCACTTGGACTTTTAAGCATGTTCATAGCTCAGAGCTAAAGGGAAAAAAAGGGAGAGAGAAGAAAGGAAATCTTTGCTGATCTTTCCTTTGTAGATACTTGTGTGACCCTTTCCTGCAGGCTTTTGTGGGGGCGTTGCAGCAAAAGATAGTTTTGCCTCAGAGAACAATTCTTTTGAGACACAACAGACTTATTTTCCTGGAGCTGAAATGAGTATTTCAGCATTGACGTTTAAGGCACGCTCTGAGTCTGATCTGGGGAAGCGGGAAGCTACTACTTGTAGTTGGAAAAAATATCAACCTAAGATGAAGAGAATCATTATGGCCAAGACTCTACTGTTTCCTGAAGTTACTCAAGGTTAATAATGTCAAAGATACTCACTAAGCAGTGGGCATATTCCTCTAGGTAATGTTCTGACATGATCCAGTATTCAAGTCATGCAACAAAGCTGCCAAAATTGAGAGGACACACACATTTGTGATGAACTTTCATCCTGAGAACTACCTTCTTGAATGAATAGGCTATCGCCTCTCCCCATTACCTCTTTGTCCTCTATGGAAAGGATCAAGGTGTCTGAGACTGGAGTGCCTGTTCTGTGCCTAGATTGGAAACCTAGGCTGGTTTAATTTGCCTACAGAAAAAGCCTGTGGCTAGAAACCAACTTTTTCCACAGCTGCCTGGTCCAGGTCCACCTCTTCTTGGGAAGGCGTATCTCCTTGATTTGGAGATTTCCTGCAACACGCTATCCTGACAGGTGACTCAGCTGCCAAACTTCCCGTCCTGGCCCAGTTGCACTGCTGTTGAAGCACTTATAAAGTATATAACCTAGTCTCAATTATTGGTACTCATAGAAGAGAGCAATGATATAAAACAAAAAACAGACCCAGCTAGCAGTCACTTCCCAGAACATGTGCTTTTGAATTGCTATGTTTTCTACTGCTGGGGTATGAGCTTTCCTAACATCAGCATAAATACCACCCACACAGCCGTTTCTCATGTTTTTTATTAGATATTGTTTTTGCAGTTGATAGGAGTCAAAGAAGGTCCTTATAAAGCTTTGTCTCAGGGAGTCTGTGTCAATAATAAGTGACAGAAAACTCAAAAAGGCTTAAGCAGAAAAGGGAATTTATTAACGAAAGGTATGCAGGGCTTCAGGAATGATAGATTTGGGGGCTTAGGTTAGTTAATCACAACTATTGTTATCATATTTTGACTTAATCATTTTTTTTTTTTTTTTTTTTTGGTAAGCTTAAAAGTCTCCACTCCATGTGACAGCAAAATAGTTCTTAGTTTCAAATCCGGCAAGCAAGAAGAGTGATTGTTTCCCTCACAAACACCTCTGAAGAAAACTCTAAGGTATCTCATTATGCCTATAGGGTTAAATGTCCTTTCTAAGCCAGTTATTGAAAAATGTAATAATCATGTTGGGTGGTCTGAATCACATGTCACAATGAGCTTGTGTTATGGTCATCTCCCTGGGACCACATAGAGTGAAAAGAAGAGATGAATGGATTTCTAAATGAAGATGGGGACTGTTTCCATAAGAAGTGGAAGTAGAAACTGGGTGTGACTAAGAGTACACACGTTCACTATAGGCACAGATATAGCTAAGCAACCATACTTTCTCTAATGGTGCCAACTTCATGGCAGGCTGTATCTGCCATGACTTAGTACAAGGGGAAGAGAGGAAGATGTGTAGAGATGAATAAAAGAGAATCTTTGCCTTTGGGAATGTTGGGGCCCAGAAAATGATGTCCCAAAGGCTGATGCTGTGATGTGCTGAGGAGCATAGGTGCCTGAAAAGCCAATACTTTGCAAAAAAGCTAGAAGCTACCTCTACCTTTGTCTTGTCTCTTAAGCACAAGAAGGGACTCTTCCTAGAATTTCTTTATGTGACCAAAAAAGCTTTTTTCCAAAAGAAATGCAATTATCTTAAATGCTTTCCTTAGGGACATCATCAAATAACCAGGAAAGATTAATCACCTGAGAAGAGAAGAGAAGAGACTGGGGATCTTCACCCTGCCAAGACAGTCTTTTCATCTATTCTTCTGAGAGCAACTCCAAGAGATTACCTGTGGGACTCAATTTGCATAACAAGATGACCTTTGTTCCTGTGCAGTTCCACCCCTCACCTTCCCATAATGTCTGCCTCCCACCTCCCAGGTCCATTATTTTTCCCTAATGACTTACTGCTCCTTAAAAGAAATGTCTACACTTCCCATCTCCTTCCTCCCCTATGGAAAAGGGTATATCACTTCTATCATTCTCTGGTGATCCCCCATGCTATGCACATTACAATAAAATTTTGTACGCCTTTTCTCCTATTAATCTTCTTTTTGTCAGCTGAGTTTTCAGTGAAACTTCAGAGGGCAAAGGGGTAGTTTTACTTTGGTCCCTGCAAGAAACTCCACTCACTTTAAGGTGAGTGCCAGATGGCCAGTATGGGTGATTAAATCTAATACGATCAAATTCACAAATGAAGACAAATGTTCAGGTTATAAAAGAAACTGTCTTTTCATTGAGGAGGAGTCCTTCTCATTATCAACAGGGTTTGGCATTAAACAGGAAGTCCTAGAGGTGAGGGATTTTTCTCCTGTCGAGTGCTCATTTTGTAAAGCTATTCCACCTGGCACTCACCTTAAGTGAGTAAGTTTTGTTTTGGCTGGAGATTGCAAATTCATGGTTCAAGTGCCAACACATCTTGTCTTGTGCTCATAGCAGACTCACAAACAGGCCCTTCCTGATGAATCTGGATATAGCTTTAGAATTCTTTGCATCACTGCAATCCAGGCAGCTGGTGCAAATCAATGGAGATTGGCACATAAGGTATTTATTTTTCAGCCTGTGTTAGATTAATATTAGTAGATTGGACCAAGTGAACATTTATTTTCAGTGTGGTTGGGTAAAGTAGGTTGGGTGTGAGCTGGAGGAAGAAGACAACTGGTTGGCAACAGACCACAGATCACTAGTCATCAGGAAAAGCCTGGATCTGTATGAGGATAATTGCTAGTTGTCTGTATTTCACAATTTGCAGATATCTAGCTTCTTACAAATAGCTCAATGAACATATCACATTCATTTCTTTTCAAAACACTTGAATATTTAAAATAATACTAGATGAAAATAACAGTGAGTAATCAAGCCCACATTTTTAAAAACAATTTTATTGAGTAAGATCTGTGTAGGGTAGGGGGAAGAAAATTCTCAGTTCACATTACTACAGCATAACTAATCTAGTTGTCTACTCTCTATGTTTAGAAATCACATTCAGTTGGTTTAGTGGTAGAGTTAAAGGCCAAATCTGCCATATAGTAAGTAGTACATGAAGCCGGGAGGAAGGATCCAGGACAAACCATGACAGAATACCACACATTTTGGAGATGCATGCTTTCTCAAAGCTCTGAGAACCATCATGAAGACATATTGACTGAAAGAATATGCAGTGATGACTCTGAATAGGTCCTAACTATTGGAGGTAAGCATTTCTAAAATTATTTGGACAAAAAGTTAATACATGGTACAAGTTACTCTTAAATGCTTTGTGAGATACAAAGAGGATAGGCTTGCCCCTTTTAAAAGAAGAGGTAAACAATCAAGTTGGAGATACAAGATTTACAAATATGAAAACAAATAACAATAAAGCACTTAATAGTAGCAAGCAATCATGGAAAAGATGTCAGTAGGCAGTAAGTGGTTAATTACCAAATGTATTATCTGAATAATAATTGTGGAAAATTTTTTGAAAGGAGTGATTAGTTCAACTTAGGGAATGAGGAACATCATTACTAAAGAAGTGAGATCTGACCTTGGTCCTATTTGGGAGTTAGGATTAGGTTAGGAAGGCAGTTTTGGTGGGGAAAGTAGTCTAAGAAAAAGAAAGATGAATGGAAGGATCAAAGTATATTTGGAAGAGAATGAGTAAATAAGTTTATCTGGAGTTGTTATTTTATGTAGACAAGTTGAGGGAAGGGGAGGTAGTAAAAGTATATTGAGGCCCATTGTGGAGGCTCTTGAACTCTGAGCTGAAAGTTTTAGATACAATCCAGTAAGCAATGAAGAGTCCTGGAAGGCTTCTGAGTAGCAGAGTGGCATGGTCTGACAGTGTTTTGGGGAGGGGTAGTTTGACATAGATGTGAGGTATAGAATGGAGGTAACTAATGTTGAAATTGAGGAAACCATTAAGGGGCCTTTACAGAAATCCTAGGAAAGGTAAAAGAGTCTGATTTAGCTTGTTGTCAATAGGAATACACCAAGCACTGTGAAATAAGAATCAACAAGACTTGGTCACACTCTCAGTCTATTTTGTGTTGCTATAGAGAAATACCTGAGGCTGGGTAATTTATAAAGGGAAAGAGTTTATTTAGCTCACTGTTTTGCAGGCTATACAAGAAGCATGACACCGAACTCTGGTTGTCTTCTGGTGAAGTTCTCAGAAGTTTCCACTCATGGCAAAAGGTGAAGGGGAGCCAGCTCCTGTAAAGATCACATGGCAAGAGGAAGTGAGAGGGAGAGAGAAGGTGCCAGTTCCTTTTTAACAACCAACTCTTGTGGAAACTAATAGAATGAAAACTCACTCAGAACCGCCAACCCCAGGGAAGGCATTAATCTATTCATGAGGGATCCACCCCTATGACCCAAACCCCTCTCATTAGGCCTCACCTCCTAACACTGCTACACTGGGAATGAAATTTAATCATGAGGGTTGGTGGGGACAAATGAACCACATCCGAACTCTAGTGGTCACTACTTAGATAATTTCCATAGAGGAAAGGGAAGACATAAAGTTGAGATTTCAGTCCTAAAAGATTGGAATAATGGAGGAATCTGTAGAGAAACACAGTTTTGAGCTCAGATGAGAAACTTAGATCTAGATGTTGAGGTTTTGGTGAAGGTTCAGTGATCAAGTAAAATGTTCATTGCTTTGTTGTTTTGATTGTCAGTGAGGTTTTGGGTGGAGTTTCAGGAGTCATCTGCATGGAGGAGATGTTGGAAGTAAGAGGAGAGGGTATATCCTAGGAAAGCCAGAGCCAAAGATTGAACTAAAGAATTTCTCATTTTTAAAAGGTAGGTAAAGAGGGAGCTAATGAAGAAAAAGAAACAAGCTGTCAAGAGGTGGGAAGAGAACCAGGACAACACAGCATCGTGTCAGAAAATAAAAGAGTATAATTTCAAGAAGGAAGAATGGCCAATAGCCCATTGGCTGTAGAAGAATCAAAGAGCAGGAGAAACAGGAAAAGGCCTTTAACTTTGTGATTAGGATGTCAAAGATGACCTTCTAGGCATTACAACATATCAGCTGAAGAAAGTGAATGTGATCTAGAGAGAGAAGTCTACAACATGACCCAATTAGCTTAATGGCTCAAATCACTAAAATCATACAGATTCTTGGTAAATCTTAAGCTGATAAATGTTACTACTATCAGAGATCATGGAAGGGAATGCTAATACCTCAGGAAAATAACAGATTAAGCATCCATGTAATTTATACCATATGCATAGTCTTTGTTTCAATGATGTTGGTAATATTAATGCAACATTGCTAAAAGTAAACACCCTCTATAATCTAGGCACTGTATTTAGCACTTTAACACATTTAGTTCACGGCACAATTCTGTGTTTTGGAGTTGAGGAAACTGAGTTTTGGAAAGTTAAATATTGCTTCTGAGATTATATAGCCAGTAAACAATGGAGTTAGTATTCAAACCAAGGTCAACCTGACTCCAAAGCCCACGTATTATCTACTACACCAGGTGGAATAGCTTTACAAAATGAGCACTCGACAGGAGAAAAATCCCTCACCTCTAGGACTTCCTGTTTAATGCCAAACCCTGTTGATAATGAGAAGGACTCCTCCTCAATGAAAAGACAGTTTCTTTTATAACCTGAACATTTGTCTTCATTTGTGAATTTGATCGTATTAGATTTAATCACCCATACTGGCCATCTGGCACTCACCTTAAATGTCTTGTCATCTTGTTAAAACTTCTAGAATCATGGAAAATTTCAAAACTATGTAAGTTAGAAAGAGGAGTATTATAAATCCCCATGTACCTATGCTCCAGCTTCAATATTGATTGATCAATATCTGATGAATCTTGTTTTATTTGCCAGACCACTTCCATCCCCTTCACCACTTACATTCTTGGAAGTAGGGAGTGTGCTGGTTGACTTTTCCTGTGTCTCACTGAGTGTCAACCTGTTTCTTTCCAGCACAAAGCATCTTGTCTGATATAAATTTGTGAGGAGTTTGGTGAACCTGAGATTTGAGGAAGAAAAAAATATTTTTTCTCTTTGGAAACAATTTTTAGGTGTTAGAAGAAAAACCTTAGACAAATTCGATATGACAGAGTTTAATTGAACAAAGAACAATTTGTGAATTGTGCAGCCCCCAAACTAGAACAGGTTCAGAGAGACTCCAGCACTGCCACATGGTCTAAGAAAATTTATGGACAGAAAAAGAAAAGTGACAGACAGAAAATGGAAACAAGGTACAGAAACAGCTGGATTGGTTATAGCCGGGTGTTTGTCTTGTTTGAATGTGGTTTGAACACTTGGCCACATGTGATTGGCTGAAACTCAATGATTTGTATCAAAGTCGTTTATAGTCTCTTTATACATCCAGTTAGGTTTCAGTTCACTATCTGGAAATCTTTAGGCCAAACTTAAAATATGTAAGGGGGCAGCTTTAGGCTAAACTTAATTTAACATAGGGTACTTATTTATAACTACTACAAAATAAATTCATAAATATACCCTATTCCTAGACTTTCTCTAACTAAAACTCAGGAGATCCTGAGCTTAAGAAGACTTGTGCATGTGGTATGAGCTGCCTCTTGGGAATCCCTCTGCTGAGGGCAGACAACCATCTAGTCTTTTCTGTTAGGCCAGGCAGGCATCTGTGATAGGTATGTTAGTGCTGACAGTCACTAAAATCAGAAATGAAGTGTGGAAAATGAGCAGGAACCAACAGTCTGGTCTCTGTGGGAGGTCGGAGTCAGAGTGAATTGACCTCTGCTCTGCCTCCTTTCCTCTTTCTCCACTGGAGGTGTCCAAAGCCTTAAAGAGAGACCTGCTCACAGGGGGTCACCAAAAGGAACCCATGACAGTGGCCATTGCTGAGGTCTTTAGCAGAGCCATAGATACCTGGGTCTGCATCACAGGTAAGTTTTAACTTATGCTTCTTGCAAAGTTTTGTGCTCCAGATTTAAAGAGGGTGAAGTTCTTAATTGGTCATCTTCGTCTGCAATGTTTCTTCTTTTACTTTTTATGGAGGCGTAATATACATACAGACAAGTGTATATATCATAGGTATACAGCTCCATGAAGTT